AGGCATCATATCACGCAACGTACGACCACTGCTTCATACTATTCCTGAACCAGGCAGGTGTGAAAGCTGAGCATCTTGAGTTGGGCAAGGCGGGCATTCATGGAAATGCTCACTTGCAATTTTTGGAAAAGAATAGCGACCAGATTGCAGCGAAGTTGAATGACTGGATTGAACGGACTGTGACTGGCTGAATACCGCAGAACTTCGCATAGCTACTCTAATCCTTCAACGTCGTAGTCCTTTCAAGCATTTCGCAAAAGCGACTCCGCTACATTCGGATACTTGCAAGTGTCCTAGGGACTCTAGCCTAGCTTGCTCTGTGTTAGAGTAGGCTCTATATCACTTCAGAGAAGACGAACAATTACAGTGGCGGATGCGAACGGATCAACAGCAGGATGTGACTAATTTTGACTTGGAGAGTTGAATCCACGTCTGTCACTATATAGCTCAGTTGACCTTGAATTGACCAGGGTATACTTAGTCCGCCTCACTTGATGATATGATAGCTGTACAGGGAAAGGAGACCGACTAGCTTATCTAATATCTCTATATGTGTGACGTGTTCTATTCATTCGCTTACCATGATGGAATGAGATAATGTCTTGCGCACTATGACTAGCTATGCACATCATGGAAGGGAAATATCGAGTCATGTGAGGAGCATCACGGCGCTTACTACAATCTGCTGGCTTATACCGGAACTGCTTCTGTGCCAACGTGTCTAAGCCCCCCCAGCTTGGCCTAATAGTTCACGAGAGCGTCAGTATCTGTATCACCTCTGCGCTGCCCAAAGACAGCGCTCGAGAAAAAAATGACAAGCGCCTGTTCCTTACTATAAGTACCTGTCCTAGGTTCGAGTTAACCATAGTAAAAGGATATAAACAAGCTTCAGTGAACATCCATATACAAAGAAGAAAGTCACGTTTCGGGTTGTGTATGGCCTGGTTCATGTGTGTCCATGGACTGCGCAGTACCGATCCATCTGGTTACTGCCACCCAGGGATGGAATAGTATCAGACGTAATCACCACACACGATTCAATCCAAGATACTTTCATTGGTCATGCACCCCGGCGCCTCAATCTGGGGAAACCCAGTCGACACCAAGGGCATCGCCAATTCGATTGGTCAAGCGAGTTCCGGTGATTGGACAGACTACTGCCTCCCTTGACGGTAACATACGACGACCATGAGACTGAAGGAGGGTAGTATTCCCCTCTTCCCCAGTCTACACCTTCTTGGCGCCGACATCCAGACTCAAAACCCACCAAACATAACCGCAGGCGATCTGGGCAGTGACGCCTTGCCATATCTTCTCTGTCCCAATACAGTAACTACTCCAGGATTTGTGAACCCTACATTACGCCTCACTCTTGCAAGGTTTGACTGGACTTTCGTTCTGTCGCTCTGGAAATCCCATTCGGTACTCAGCACATTATGGCTTCATTGTAGAGGTTCGACATGTTCAGTCCTCGATGCTTTTCGACAGCCTTTACTGCCTGTCCATATACGTCCATCCCGGAAATCTGTAGTCGATGCGGTTTGATGTCCGTGAACGGCACGGCCGGCAGGTAATCTGTACCGCTGCTTTCCCCGGGTCTCTTACGGATTGTTCCCCACCTGTCTGGACGTCCATTTAGCTTATTCGGCCTTTTGCTTTCCGGGATTCGTAATGACGGCCCCGGTCAGGCCCGGTCCCTGTCAGTCAGGTCTAGCACTCGAGTCCTCATGACAGCCAAGGCATTCGCCTCAAAGTCACAATATGGCATGTCCTTGACGATACAGGCGGCTATCACGGGCCGCTTAAACCAACTCCTCCAACTCGTCCTTGGCACCTCCTCTCTCATGTTCCGGGTTGAGTAGGTGACGTATTGTTTATTGCAGTTGAATGGCTGGAATAATGCACGAATAGAGTCTTGCTACTATACTCTGCTGCTTCCTGCGCTCTGGGCAGCCGATCGGTGACACACCAACAACAGGCGCGGAAACCCGACTTCCGTTTCCGTCTAATATCGCGTTCTTGGAGAGCCTTGGCCTGCTGTTTCTTCCGGCTGAAGAACATGATCTTCTCAAGTTCCAGGCAACAACGAGGACTGCTCAGTTTGGATAGCGGAAGCACTCGGTCCATCAGGGACCTGGTGCTAGAGGCAGGTATCGACTATATTGGCGGTGAACAGTATAAAAGCATGCCAGTTTTGTTTTGGGGGAATCCTCTCAACACATCGAGGGTAAGGCCTGCCACCGAAAACAGCATAGACTCAAACGATTCTCAGGTCAACTCATTTTAACTTGAACAATGCTCTCGATACTTGCTACGGCCTCTATGGCTGGCTTCGCCGCCGCCCAGCAAGTCGGGACTCAACAGACCGAAACCCACCCCTCGCTCACCTGGAGCCAGTGCACCAGCTCCGGCTGCACCACCACCAGCGGCCAAGTCGTCATCGATGCTAACTGGCGCTGGCTGCACGACGTCAATAGTACGGACAACTGCTATGACGGCAACGAGTGGACCGACGTATGCAGCACCGAGACCGACTGCGCCGAACTGTGCGCACTTGAAGGCGCTGACTATCCCGCTACCTATGGCGCCACCACGAGCGGCAATGCCCTGACGCTCAAGTTCGTTACTGAGGGCACCTACAGTACCAACATCGGGTCGCGTCTATATCTTATGGCTAGCGAGACGGAGTATCAGACCTTCACACTCCAAGGTAACGAGCTTGCTTTCGATGTCGACTTGTCGACTGTCGATTGCGGACTTAACGCTGCGCTCTACTTCGTCGAGATGGAGGCTGATGGTGGCTTGGCGAGCTACCCTACTAACAAGGCCGGCGCGAAGTACGGCACCGGATACTGCGACGCTCAGTGTGCCCGAGACCTCAAGTTTGTTGGTGGCAAGGCCAACATCGAGGGATGGGTACCATCGACCAATGATCCCAATGCTGGCGTAGGTCCTTATGGAGCATGTTGTGCCGAGATCGATATCTGGTACGTCCCGAAAACTTTTATAGGGCTGTGCTCTCTAACCATTCTGATAGGGAGTCAAACTCGCACTCATTTGCCTTGACCCCCCACCCGTGTGAGGACAATTCCTACCACGTCTGCGAGACAGACGGATGCGGTGGAACCTACTCGGAGGACCGCTTCGCCGGCGACTGCGACGCCAACGGTTGTGACTACAACCCATACCGTGTCGGCGATACCGATTTCTACGGCAGTGGCAAGACGGTCGACACCACCCAGAAGTTCACGTAAGCATCTATAAATAAAGCAGCAGAGCCAAGTTTACTAATCGAGAGCCTCAGTGTTGTTACCCAATTCCAGGAGAACAACTTCACCCAATTCTTCGTCCAGAACGGCGAGACGATCCTCATTCCAGCCCCCGCGTTTGACGGGTTCCCCGACAGCAGTTCCATCACGCCTGACTACTGCACGGCTGAAACTACCGTCTTCGGCGACCGTGATCGCTTCAGTGAAGTCGGTGGCTGGACGGCATTGAACGAGGTCCTATCGCAGGAGCTGGTCTTGGTCATGTCTATCTGGGATGATGTAAGTCAAAGTCCCGACAAAAGTTCACCCACGGATGCATGAAGCAAACAAGAGCTAACAGGTCACTCTAGCACTACGCCAATATGCTCTGGCTCGATTCCTCGTACCCCGTTGACGAGGCCGGCACCGAAGGCGCCGACCGCGGCGACTGTGCGACGACAAGTGGTGTGCCGACTGATGTCGAGGCCGACATCCCCAATGCGTACGTATCTTCTTCAGACCCCTTCTCATCGCTCGATGCAGCACGTCTAACGAGATGTAGCCAGGTCATCTGGTCTAACATTCGCTTCGGGCCTATTGGTTCCACCGTCTAAACCAAGCTACTTTCGCTCATTTTGTGGAAGGAGGATGCGTGTACTGGCTTGCATACCGCGCGCGACATGGCTTGGACCTTCTTTTGTATATATTGAGAAATTACCATGTTCCACTGTACGTATTTACGGAAACACAATACACCGTCTTGCGAAGTGTACATCTGACATCGAATGGTCTGCTATCGAAGTGTGACAATGACTTACTGGAACGGTAGACGAGCGTGACATACGTGATTGTAGATCTCAACGTCTAGCACTGCGTAGTGGCGAACAAGATCTCGCTTCAGTGTTGTTGTTAGACGGTATGGCTGGCGGCAACGTTGGGGTCAGTGAAGCAGACTGACTCGAGCGGCTACGAACTGTCCCCGCAAACATAACACCCGCACCTGCTGTGACAGACTCATTGATGAGGCCTTTCCGAGTTTCCAACAACGTATCGGAGCAGTCGGCTAATAGTCTGATAAGTGTCCGGAGCTGTCTTGGACAATACTACCTTCGTCACTATGCAGATATGTCAGCTCTGCAGGAGAAGACCAGTCTGAAGTTGCATTGTTGAACTATATCGAATCCCACGCTCGCTGGAACACGCAGCGACTCTAGTCCGCTCTTCGCTTCCCATAACTCATCAAGTTCTCCGTATCTTCGTCCATTCCAGGCCACAGCACTTGTCTTTTCACTATCGCTCTAACATAAGAAACTCTTGACGGGTCGGTCCGCCTCCAATTAGAGCATGGTAACTTGGCACGCTGATAGAACATGTAAGCCCTCGACCTGGATAGTACTGTATAATCCAAAGTCCATGACTGACGAAAAGGATTGAGCGTAGCTCGCTCAACACCCCAAACTTAAGTGGAGAGCAAGACTCGAAGTACGAAGGGTTAAGATAGCCGACGTACCGAGATAATACTACAATGGTTTAACCGTCTAAGATCTCCGTTCTGACGTTGAACCAAGCGAAACAATATGGCCAAGTTGACCAACATCTGCCACGAAGCCGTCGCCCGGTTTGGGAGGCTCTTCGACCCTTCCCAGCCAGAAACCTTCGATCGTATCGTCCCCCTTCGTGATATCCTCGCTTCTGCCACTCAACAGCCTAGGCGGATAAACCCAGAGCCGTGTTCATCCCTCTTTGATCACGTCCTCGGTGCTCCAATGGCACGAGCGCCCTCGCGGTGGCCTAGGCTCCGTCATCGAGGAGATCCTGGTTCAAGTCCAGGTCGGGGAAACTTTTCGTTTTTGTTCCTCCCTTGGGTTCCAGTCATGACATACTCGAGTCTTATTGGAGACTCGGACAGAGGTATACGTACGTACAATTAAGACTATGACCACCTAACGTACGACTCCCTATGAACGAAAACGAATAGTTAAAACCCCAAGACTCCGCATTTTTGATGCTCAGAAACCAAACCAATGCTTTTCCGATGCAAATAATATCCCTTCCACCCCTGCTTAGGCCCATGAGAAAGACGACTGGATAGAGTGTAACAAGATGCCAAAAGCAGAAGTAGAGAAATCCATTCCAACAGCAGACTTATGAGCTGTCGTTGAAATTAACTCGGGAACGTTTGAGCCGAAAATGACCCCTGATAAACAAAGATCTAGTTTAGTCCTTCTATAATACTTCAATCAGGACAAAAAGCCACGAATTCATGGCGATAGGTGCGTGGATCCCAATAGCAACCCCGCCCACACTTAGAGAGCGAGGTGCCCTCAACAGGCGCCAGCTTTACTTATTAGCAGCCTTGTTCGCTTCCATCACAGCAGCCAACTCCGTCGCGCTCTCCGGCTTCTTGACCTGCAGCATCCAGGTTTCAAGTCCATTTCCGTCGTCTCTAGCGGCCATGAACTTCAAGTACTTACCATCCGCTTTGTAGTCGATGCCAGCTAGGACCGTCTTGTTCATCGCGATGTGACCTCGTGGCTCAGCGCGCAGCAAGATTCGGACCGAGCCTGTGGACTTGTTCTTGAGAACACGTAGGGGGCCAACGCCCTGCGTCTGCCAGGGAGACTTTGCCTCGTCTTCGCTACCTTTCTCCACAGGGATGTATTTAGTCGCTTTGGCACGAACCTCGTGGAGGCATTCCTCGTCTTCCTCGCCAGGACCACCCTGAATAAGGGAGATCTGCTCTTGAGGAGCTTCTGCTTCGCCGTCCTCCTGCTGAGGTTGGGGCTGGGGCTCAGGCGTGCCACCATTGACTGGTGTCGTGTTTATACTAGATGGCGCAGGAAATGGTGAGCCTGGGAGGCGGTTAACATGGGTAGGGATTGAAATGAGAGGGAGATACGCACTCGTGCCATTGCCACCGCCAGGCTGCAAGAGATTACTGAACATGCTAGAGCCAGCTGGTTTCTGTGCGAAAGCATTTGGTGTGTTTTGGGGAGGGGTGGCCGAGGTGAAGTTGAAGGACGGCGCAGTAGCCGATCCATTGGTTTGTCCGCCGAACATTGCCTTGGTCTGCTCAGGTGGCGCTGGGTTTGGCGTGGACGGGCCTTGACCGCCAAACTGGAAATTGAACGATCCAGAGGGAGTGGGAGTGGCCGAGTTTCCTCCGAAGGACTGGTTCGCCTGGCCGTTCGAGCCTCCAAAGGGGTTCGACTGGCCCGCACCACCGGCCCCGAAAGTGAAAGACCCCTGGTTCGAGGAAGAGTCTTGATTGCCGGCCCCGAAATTGAATGAGCCCCCGCTAGGAGTCGTTGAGCCTCCTGTGAAATTGAAGTTGGAGTTGCCGGTCCCAGCACCGTTAGTCTGCGGAGTGGAGCCACCGAAAGAGAAAGGTGCTGCGTTCTGGTTGGCACCCGATCCGTTGTTCTGCGCACCAAAGCTGAATGAGGAGCTGCTATCCGGCTTCATCTCCGCCGCAGCGTTCGAACCGAACGAGAAAGAGGGTGTCGTAGCCGATGTATTGTTGTTGTTGTTTCCGAAGACATTATTTGTTGCAGGGACATCGGAGTTTTGCGATCCAAACATGGCAGACCCGCCAAAGCTAGACTGAGCTGGCGGCGCATTGTTTTGGGCTGGCTGTGGTGTATGTCCTCTCATCCTCTTCGGTGTCAATATTCTTCGTCCCGGGACTGGGCTCGTAGGACCAGAACCACCGGCAATACCGCTAAACATTGACTTCTTTTCTGTCGAGTTGTCCATGTGCATGGCTGATTGTGTGCCGTCGCTGAACATTGAGTTCTTCTTTGGTGAGTTGTCTGTCTCCATAGCCGAGTCGGCGCCGAATGTGGGTGCCGACGATTGTTGACTGCCTGAACTGTCGCCGGCCTCAGATCTACCAAACACGGTTTTCTTGGATGACTGACTGTTCTCGTCAGCGAATCCGCGTTTCGCCGACATAGACGAGTTTGACGCTGGGAATGGGTTGGCAGCAGGTGCCCCAAAAGTGTTGGCAACGGAAGATGTATTGTTATTCCCAAAAATGGACTGGCTGCCCCCTAATGCGGGCTGTTGACTTTCGGTAGCTGGCTTATTGTAATTACCAAACAGGGCAGTGGCAGCCGGCGTTGAGGGTGTAGCTGCTGGCTTGGACGAACCAAAGCTGAAGGTCGGTTGGGACCCAAAGGCGTTCTTGGGCTTTTCCTCAGCAGCGGACGCCAATGCGCCGTTGGTTGTATTGGGTGTTCCAAAGAGTTCCGATCCGAAGAGATTATTGGGTTGTTCCTTAGCAGCGGCCGTCGTATCGGGCTCCTTGACCTTGTGAGTCTCACCGGAGGCTGGGTTTTGCGCAGAAGTTCCAAAGGAAAATGCAGAAGTGGAAGCAGGTTTTTGCGTATTGGAAAATGAGCTCGCCGCAGGAGTCTCAGCAGCCCTTTCAGCTTTAGGAGCCTGGTTGAACCCACCAAAGAGCGGCTTCGATGAAGGTTGTTGAGGCGTGCTATCTAGCTGAGTTGATGGCTTTGCACCAAAAAGCGTCTGCGATGGTTGCTCCGTCGTTGTTGACTTGGCTAATGGGTTGGAACCAAATATTGAAGCCGCACTGGTGCTCGGTGCAGGTGCCTTTACAGACTCTTTTGACTCTTTTGCTGTATCATCTTGAGCTGGTGTTGCTGATGGCTTAGCGCCGAAGATCGAGCTACCACCGTGGCTGAAGTTGATAGGTGTGGTTGCAGGGTTGAAGGTGTAGTCACCTGGTGGCTTGGCGGGGGTCTTTGTCTGCTCTGTCTCAGGCTCAGGAGCAGGCTCCTTTGCGAGTGAAGGCGCCTTTGGTGTCGGCTCAATGGACGCACCCCGAAGAGGCTGACCGTCCGACCCAAGTGATACACGACCAAATAGACCACCTTTTGCGGCGTTGTTTACAGACTCCTTCGCAGGTTCCTCCGCTGGCTTCTCGGCCGGCTTATTGAAAGCACTAGCGAAGGGGTTGGAAGTAGCAGAGGCTGGCTTGCTGAAGCTGAACAAAGACGACCCTCCAGCAATAGGTGGCGTAGCCGTCCCCGCGCTGGCTGCAGCACTCGCCTCAAGACTGGCTACATTATCTTGACTCCCGGTCTCGGGTTCTGATTCATGCTCTGACCCTGAGTCGGTATCAGCATCGTCATTGCCATTCTCAGCACCACTATTATTTGCTGAACTCTCAGATAGATAGCCAAAGATATTGGTAGACTTCGCAGCAGGGGTTGAGCCAATCTTATGCCCTGACAGTATGGATCCTGCACCAGCTCCGTTCAATGTCTGTCCAGGCTGGAACATAGAGGATTGGAGTTTCGAAGAAGAAGTGTTGGTAACCCCATTCGAAGGCGGACCATATGGGTTCGAGTTCATAGCAAAAGCCGACGTCTGGCCCTCTCCAGACTTTGGGACACCGAATAGTGACGTCGTGGGCCCAGCTGTAGCCGAGCTCGTGCTTGCTCCGAACAAGGGGCGCTTGAGAGGTGAACCCGCAGGAGTAGAAGTGCCCGATTGCACATTGTTGATGATACCTTCAAGTCGCGATCTGGCTGCGGACGGTGTAGCCTTCTGGAGTTTGTTACGCTGGTTCTCATCGGGCTCCTCGGCCTCATCTGCCTTGCGCTTGCCCTTCAGCGGAGCTGGAGCGAACCTGGGAACGTCGTCGGTAAGCTCCTGGTCCAGGTTGCGTCTCTTGTTCTGGTTGACAGTGGATGCCTTGAGGGTATTATCCTTGGGCTGGAAATCGTCATCGGCTTTGCGCTTGGAAGTGGAAGTGGAAGCACCAAAAGGTGTCTGGGCGGTGGTGTTGTCAATAGCCTTCTCAGGCTTCGGCTCCGGGGCAGGCAATCCATGCGCCTTTCTCCAGTTCTTCATGACCTCCTCCGAGGGCTTGACATTTTTGAACTCATACAGACCGTAGCGCAACATAATCAAGCTCCGACTCTTCTCATACTCCTTCGCAAAGTTGATAATATTCAACTTCCAGTCCTTCTTTGCAAATATTTCGTTCGCGGCGAACTTCAGTCTTCGCAGATCGAGGATGCAATAGAACTGTCTCCGCTGGTCATCATCGAATTCGCGAGGACATTTGTCCTTCAGGTACTGGTCGGCGTACACAGTGCCTTTGCGATTCAAGTCGTCCGGCACGGCCTTTGCCAAGGCTTCACCCGTCAGATCGGGGTCGGGGGAAGGTATTCTCATCTTGAACAGTTCGCTGGATGTCGTGGCCGCCATTCCAGCCCCGGTACCCTTCGGCGCGAACTTGCGAATAGATGCAGGGGCCTTCGTTGCACTTGTGGGCAAATTCGGCGCGAACTGGGTAACGCGGGTAGGTTTCGGGGTTGTGACTCTAAACAAGTCCCGAGCAGTGCCGGACGAAGTTGCCAGCTTGCTTGACGACTGCGAGGCGCGGGCGGGTGATACTCGATGCATGGGGACGAGAGATGATCGAAATCTGCTGGAGGCCGGTGTGGTCGAGCTGTGTTGAACCGACGCAGCGCCAGGCTTACGAGGAGTAGGATTGAAACTCATGATGACGGCAGATGGACGGTATCACGAGGGAGGGAAATGAAGAGATGACGATGGAACAAGTAGTGACGCGAATTCGCGTAGAAGAACTGCGTCAGGCGTGCTGCAAGATATGGAGTCGTCCAGAAGTCGATGGGTCAACCCAGCATAGCCCGCGCGAAGGGAGCGGCTTGAATGTGAATTACGTTGGATGTTGCTGTGGCAGCTTAGGAGAATAGGTTTGACGAGGCGAATCAGCGCTGTAAGACGAGAGTCATCTTTCGACACGAGGAGTTCACGTGTTTCAACGAATCTTCGATGCTGAT